GCATTTGAACGCAGCACAGTGGTATAGGAAAAAAAAGAGGGAAATAATTCGGTAACTTCTAAACGGTTAATCCTATTTTAATGAAATTTGGCACGCACAAAGAGGAGGTGTTTTCGAGTTTAGGTTTTGAATTTGGACCTTATAAGCCAACCAGGGGCCCGGCGGGGAGTCCTCAAATTAGGACACCTCGGCTATGTTAAATTTTTAAACGATCCTATTTCTTCATTTGAGTTCCGATTTAAAAAAAAAATCGTATATAGAATCTCCTCATCGAGCACTATAAAAAATCTTCGCAAAAACTGAATAAAAAACATTTTTTAATTTTTTTTAAAAAAGTATTCCGCGAATTTTTTAATTTTCAAAAATTATATACAAATAGACAAAATTACCTTTCCATTGATATATAACATGCCTACCTAATGTTTTTTAAGTGACAAATTAATTAGGGAAAACTCAACATCTTTTATACCCCATTTACACATACACGAAATCTAGTACTTATGAGATTTCGAGCCAAATCTAGTTGATTTTAACTAGATTTCCCATACAAAACAAAATCTACTTCGTAAATAGATTTCGTTAAAAAATTCGCGGAATACTTAAAAAAAATTAAAAAATGTTTTTTATTCAGTTTTTGCGAAGATACAAATTTTTCAAATTGCAATAAAAATTTTATTTATGAATATTTTTTGATGAAATTTTACAGTTAGGTAGATTTTTTTACTCAAAATCCAAAATTAAATACAAATTTCGAATTTTCTTATTAGAAATCCCGGAATTCCCAAAAAAGTTTTAAAAAATCATATCAAAAAACAATAACTTGATTTTTAACAATTTGTTTCTCAGATAAAGATTTTTCCGGTAATTTTAGGTTGATTGCGAAAAGTAATTATGGTTTCTTTTAAAATAAAATCTAAAAATTCTAATTTTAACGTTTACAAATTTGTAAATAAAATCAGAAATATTACTGTGAAAGTTTTTTCCGATCGGTCCATAATTGGCCATAGCTCCCATACATGGTCCCCTCCCGAAAATCACTTAAACGCACATAACTCATTAACAAATTAATATATCTATATAAAATTCGGTACAAGTATTGTTCATATGCACAAAAATATTACTGTAAATTTTTTTTCCGATCGGTTCATAATTGGTCATAGCTCCCACTCAAGGTCCCCTCCCGAAAATCACTTAAACGCACATAACTCATTACTAAATTAAGATATCTACATAAAATTTGGTACAGGTATTGCTCACATGTACAGGAATATTACTGTTGAATTTTTTTCCCGACCGGTCCATAATTGGTCATAGCTTCCATAGAAGGTCCCCTCCCGAAAATCACTTAAACGCACGTCACTCATTACTAAATTAAAATATCCATATATAGTTCGGTACAAGTATTGCTCTCACATACAGAAATATTACTGTAAAATTTTTTTCCGATCGGTCCATAATTGGTCATAGCTCCCATGCAAGGTTCCCTCCCGAAAATCACATAAACGCACATAACTCATTACAAAATATTGATATCCATACATTTAGCACAAATATTGCTCTTATATACATAAATTACACTATAAAATTGTTTTACGATCGGTCCATACTTGGTCATAGCTCTCATACTAGGCCCCCTCCATAAAATTACTTAAATGTACAATATTCATTACCAAATAATGATATAGATACAGAATTTTGAAATTTTGTTTTTATATACACAATTGGTCATAGCTCTCATACAAGGTTCTCTTTCGAAAATCTCTTAAATATACATTACTCATTACCAAATAAAGCTATTGATACAAAAATTCTTTTTCAAGATTTTTGCACGATCGGTTCATAACACACATTACTTATTACTAAATTACGATATAGATACAAAATTTTACTGAAATATAGCTTTCATGTCCAGAAGTTTTGCTTAAAGAATTTTTTACGAGCGGTCTATAATTGGTCATATCTCCCATACTAGGTTCTGCCCCGAAAACCGTATTTAACTAGTCGCATTATCAATTTGTGTAGAACAAAATTATATACATGTATTTTGAAAATCCTTAAATCTTTCACACACATGCATACATGCAAATTAATAAAAATCGCCAAGCGTTGGTAATGTTCAATAAATCTTGGAATTGTAATAGATTTGAGCTGTTTGAATCTAGGAATTTTTTTATTTAAGATATGAGAAAACTTATTTCTACAAATATTTGATCAATTAGAAAAGTATTAATATAAAAGTATCTGGTGGAGGGTATTTAAGATTCGGCTCAGCCGAATATAGCACTCTAACTTGTTTTTTAAACATTTTAGCCTTTTCTAGCCTTTTTAATGACCTATTTCCACTATTGGAGCAAACACATGTAGGTAATATACATATAACTTTAATCCAGTAACCTTGGAGATTCGAAACAAGGTTTCTGGATTAAATAACTTTCTAAAAGCCATAAGCAGTATGCTTATTAGAGGTGTCCAAAAAGTATCGATTTCGCTGAGATGGATCTTATTTTGTTCACTTTTGCTTAAAAAAAATGGTGTAAAATTTTAGCCAAATCGGATAAGGAGAACCCGTGCCGGAAATCGCCGGAATTTTTACACAAATCTTATCTTCTAAAGAAAATAATCTTTCCAACAAATTATAAAGTATTAATATCGAGCAACAAATAACAAAGGCATAGGCATTTTCTTTTCACAAATATGTGGCAAAAACTAATTAAAAATTCTTTATTTATACGTTTTTTTGTGTAAATATTTTTGTTTACATCACTTCTGCAACGAAGGCCAAACAATGCAAAAAATGCATGATTTTTTCAATAAATGACTTGGGAAATCGTCAATAACTTTATTGTTTGTCCTTTGATATAAATGTTTTATATCTCGTTGAATAGATAGTTTTGTCTAGATGATAAGATTTAGACGAAAAGTTAATTTTAATGGCACAATTTTTGAAGAAAACAATAAAAGTCAATTTTACTCTTTTCAATCGATTTCTGGCACGTGTTATCGTTACCCGATTTTACTAAAATTTAACACCAGTAAGTGTTAAACACTAATAAATAAAATAACATCTATAAAATAAACATCTGAGAAAAATCGATATTTTTTGGACCCCTCTAATGCTTATGCTGACCGGAATGGTATGCATTGACATCGAATGCAACTTCAATAACGTACACAGTGATACTCATATCCTATCCATAGTCCAGTTTTATGCTGACCGGGAGCTCCATAATTGGATCAACTACATATATGCTAAGGAACAGATGTTCCTGTATAGAAAACCTAGCTGCCAGGCAGAAGTCTGAGCAATAGCGGAATTCGTAAATTGGATTATAATTATTATGGCGCCAGTTATCAGGTGATAAAAATCTAAGACCGTATTGAGTTGTAAGGAAGACTGATGAGTATGAGTTCCAAGCCACTCGGGATTAGTCGGCAAAGAAAGAGCGAATGTACTATCTTTAAAGGAAAGGGAGCTCGAGGTAGTTAACCTGACGAACGCAAAACCATTCAATCTTCGAATAATCAAGCGGTGTGTAGAATGACAAAGATCCTGTGGGTTGAACCTAACGGGAGGAGGACGAGAAGCTTCCTCAAACGAGTAACTCTTTGGTTAGTATGATGGTACATATTCTGAGTGGACACACAGAATTACGGGCAAAGCTATACATATTGGACGTGAGGATTATGACGAATGTAGAGCACGTAGAGAGGAAGTAAAACTTCGAAGCACTTTATTTGCCATTGTTAGGCTTACGTAGAAATTAGATCCAAATATCTTGGGAGTGTTATTATTCCAGATAACACATCTTTCTCGAACACTGACAGGAAAACTCTTATGAATTAAGTCCATGAAACTGAGTTTCTTAACTACGGATGATAATACATTCAGTGAATACTATAAAGTTTTCAGTTTTACCAACAAACATGTTCCTTCAAAGGGACTGCACAACAGGCCCGATAGAGGCCTGGGTGTATTTATTCGAATTTAATATAGTATACATTCTCGTATCAATCTACCCTAACCTAGTAACGATTACTATGAAATGAAAAAAATGCAATAAAAATTTTAAAAATATACAAAATATGTATGTATATATATATCATCACCTGAAATGCAAAAAGGTGTAACAACCAAAAATTTTAAAATCCAAATACATGTTGTTGCAAATTTTTAGAACTTTATTGTCACAAGTCAGAATGTTCTAAAAAGCAACACAATAGACAATGCCTGGAGTCACATTTATATTCAAACATGTTCATTGATGTTAGGATATAATACATGTTTCAATATTATTTAGTTATTTGTCTCTCGTGTAAAATTTTGAAAAGTGTTGTTAAGCCCTTTTGCATTTCAGATGACGATATGCAATTTAATGGAAAATGTGCAAAAATATGCATCAACAAATCGATGACATTTTCTAGCAAATCTTTCAATTCGACAAGAAAACTAGCTAAAAGTATTTTGAGTTACTGACTACACATATGCATTTGTGTAGAAATCCTTTCCCTGCTCATTATTCTTTGTTTTTGAATAAAAATATTTGTGGAAAAGTTTATTTAACTTAAATAATTTTTCATAAATAATATAAAAGTGTATAAAAAATAAAAAAGTGTTAATTATTGTGTAACAAAAACTAGAGTGTGTGTATTGTTAGAAGACGATTAGAATTAGAGCCAACAAGGTTAAACGTTAGTGGAAATGATTGTCATGTTCGGATGCATTGACTTTGTAAAAAAATATTTTTTTTTTGCGTGGCGATCAACCATGTATGTATGAATGTATGTATTTGTATTTGCTTTCTGTTAACATCTATTATTTAACTATTTAAAAATACACATTACGCTTATTGATAACTGAAGAACCGATACCTATTTGAAAATAGTTCGGTGTAATGTATGTATGTAAATGGACGACTTAAAAGGCGATTAAATTTATTTATTGTATGTAGATAATAGTATGAGTTTGAGTATAAAAATATTTGCATTTTATTTGTATTTACCCCTGAAGAGCTGCTGGATGCTGTTGGACCTGTGGTAATGGTAGCGCTCTGAGTTGCTGCAGCAGCCGCTGCAGCTGCAGCCACTTGCCTAATGCTGAGGCAGTTGCAAATTGGTTTTGTGACGCCCAATGTGCATAAAGCATTGGACCACATCGTTTCGCCTTTGTTATCCACGTTTGTAGGTTTTTCACTTTCGTTTATGAGTATAAAAATATTCCTTTCGTATACTTAGCACTTGTCAAGGCTGCGTATAGATAGATGCCAGTAAGTACTTTGTGTGTGTATGACTAGTTTTAATGGAAGTCGGACATTGAAGTAGTTGAGTTGATTTGAAAATTTAGTTTCACATCCATTTCGTTTTCTATTTGTAGGTTATAATATATTTACGTGCTGATTTAAGCAAACGTCGCTTAGTAGGAAGAGTGAGAACACATTGACGCTTAAGTATTATTATTTTTTCTTAATATTTCTAATATTCTTTCTTTTAATATTTAAACGGAAAGCTTACTTTTAAAGTTAGCAAAATAAGTACGTTGGATAATAATACGAGTGGGTGTGTTTTAAAATTCGTTTTCAATGTCGTTCTTAATGATGTCAATCTTAATTTATAAAAAATTTATCGAACTCTTTTTTTTTAATATTAATATCTAATTTGTTATCTTTTATTTGTTTTATTATTTAATTTTTACTATTACTTAGAAATTCGTTTTAATTTCAATAAATGCATTAGAGTTACTGTTGTTGTTGCTTTTGTTGTTGTTCGACCTGTTTTCTACAATTAAATTAATTTATCTTTTATGTGTTAATTATTTATTTTGTTGCTGTTGTTGCTAAAGGAGCAACTTTAATTTTTGAAACCGTGAATTGTTCGAAATATTCATGTGAGTAATTTGTGTTTTGTTAAAAACTATTAATGCTTTTAATAAAAAATGTGTGTATGTGTGTTTCACATTTATTTTATTTAGCCAAAAATTTGCTTCATTCAAATCTAATATAAAATAAAAATAATTGTCAAATTACAAATCCGGTTCGTATTTTCGAAGGAAGATCCGCAGTATTTTTGAATACTTGGAGACATAGACTTGTTGTTATTAAAATTATTAAGGACACACATACATACGACATGTATACGTATGAGTGTATATGTATGAACGAGGCAACCTCTGATTAACTCATTCCCACAGATATCAGATGAGCTCCACACGAATAGGAGCGAGTAATGCTCAAATCTGTTAATGCAACTTGCAATGAAGGAAGGTTCTTTTTTGTATTATAATGTCATTATTATCATCATATTTATCATCGTAATTGTCATTATGTGTTGATGAAAAATAAGTCAACAAACAATGAAAACGAGTACATAAATCACATGTGTTCGGTCGTTCGTTCGATGTCAAAAGAGAAATTACAAATTGTTTCCTTTTGTTTTTATTTATTTATTTTTTCTTTAAAGAGCAATCCTTACATCTTCACACAGCATTGAGAATTTCTCTTTTTTCACTATTGTTACTTTTGTACATTAAATATGTATGTACATATATGTAGATATTTTTTATTCACTAAATCACTGCACTTGTTATAGTACGAACATATAAATGTAACTATTACATATTTTGTTGTTGTTATTGTTTTCCTTCATTTTTTTCTTTAATTTTTTTGTGTTAGTTTAACACTGGTGTTATTTAACATACGGGCGGAGTGTGTATGTGTGTGAAAGAGAAATGTACAGAATACGAGGACATTGAGAGAGAATATAAGGAGTCCAGTGTATGCCTCTTTTGCTGCTGCTGTTGTGGTTGCTGCTTTTGTTGTTGCTGTTACCGTTATAAGTTGGCCTACATACGAAGCAATTAATTGGGACACGAAGATATCATCGCACTAATACACATACAAAATAGAAAAAACTAATGAACTCCTCGTACATAATTTAAATGGACAAAAAAGTAAATAAAACAACACACACATAGAGATCTTCATTAAAATAGGTTGTTTGTAAGTTGTAACTATTTATTCTGTTGATGGTGCAACTTCATTTTTTTAATACTGCTCCTGCCACTCACTACTGGTGGTGGCGCTAAAGATATCGTACAAGTTTTATTTTTTTTGTGTTTGTTGTTGTTTTTATTGTATTATTTAATGTAGAACAGCTGCACTAGGGATTTTTATTCGGGCTTATATTGTTTTTCAAACCATTTTAATGTTAACTATCACAAACACTCTCACGTTCAACATACATCTAAATATGTATGTTTTTTAAGTTTAAATAAATATTAAAATATACAAGTTTGACTGAATGAAGAAAATTTGTATTTGTTTATAGCCATGCTTTATACTTGGGCAACTCCGGATACAAAACGGTGGGCGACATTATTTTGGTAGTTTGGTTAGAAGACAATAATGGTTTTGTTATTTTGACTCGTGTAATGGGCAAAATTATTGCTGCTGCATCTATACTACTGGCTGGGGAGTAAATAGAACCAGATGACAAACAGGACGACGATGATGAGGATAACGAAGTATTCGTTTTCGATGACGATGCTGATGGTGTACGTTTTTTTACTGAAACGGGAATAGATGTAACGACATTTTTGTTCCCAGTAGCATCTTTTCTTTTTTCAGTACACAGCAAACAAATGACAAACATGCACATTTTTAGAGAGAGAGAGTAATCAATTAAAGTCTTAACTAATTTCTGGCAAATTTCCTCTTTGTTGTTTTAATTTTCACTTTCAAAGATTGCTGTTCTACATTCACCTACATTTACAAACACGTACTACATACAATGTGAAGTAAGCGAAGGCGAGGCTGCATCAAATCTATGGAGCAAGATTCAAGAAATCACATAACTTCCTCTATATTGAGATACACATCAATTTGCAGATAGGATTCCTTTTTTTATTTAAATTTTTTTCATTCCAGTTTAATGAAATATTATTGGGCCTTAAAGATGTCCGTCCCAAGGTGACAAATTTTATAAGTTTAATTAAATAGAATTACGAAAAACTGCACATAACTGTTACTTATTCACTTATAGAATCATAATTGGGCGTTCCACAAATAATTATTATTTTTCTTCATGAAACTATTCATCCTTTTTATATAATTTTTTTATATGCCACATACATACAAACATGCATATGTATGTATATGTACGTTAAAAAGTGAGGTCATACACAGAAACACACATCTTTCTCACAAGAAACGGGCAATTTGTATATTTAATATTATTTATTACTTTATTCCTTTTATTAACAAAAATTAAATAAAATTTTATGTTAAATTTAAGAGAGTGGGGTTTAAAACTTATTTTACAAATTATTATTATTTTGTAATTAATTTTTGGTTTTATCTAGTGCGCCGAGAACGCGATGCAGCAATACACGTTCTACTCCTTTTGAAGGAAACTCACAAAGTGCACTGCCCTCATAACCGAAAGATGAATCGGAACTGAAATGGTCCAGCGCTAGATTTAACATACACTCAGTGCATACATCTTGCAATAAAAACAAATGCTGTTAAAAAATGTTAACTTACATTTGACCCAGTTTTCAATGTCTGTTCATATAAGCACTCACACGTACATATATACATACACACATACATATGCAATTAAAATATGTATAAGAATATACGTATGTATATAAGAGAAATAAGTGCATACAATTGTAAAATGCACATACATGTACAATGTACATACATATGTACATGTACATATATTTACATTAGGGTGTATATTATTATACCCAACGGCACTAACTTAAGGATATTATGTTTTTGTGTTGATGATCGACGAAGACCATTGAAATTGATGTCATTTACAGGCCACTCATAAGTCCATGTTAGAGTCGAACGAACCGAAATGTTACACGTGAACATTTAAAGATTCTAACACTAATAGCTTTCCAGATATACAAATTTTTGTATTTAATTCATATAGGAGCTGCCAACTTTACCTCGTCTTTACTTCCTTCCAGACATACAGGAAGATACTGTGAAAATTTCAAGAATATCGGTCTTGCCGTCTACAGACATCAAACACATTCATAAACAAATCAACTATCGCTAGAAGTAGTTGGTTTGTTTATGATTATTCGCCGCCATAGGGTCACATCTGCCAACACCGATTAACCTGAAATCCAAGTAATTGGCTTTATTACATTACTAACTTTTGTTTTCCTTCATCGATCATGTACCATCCATCCATTGACAGTTTCATTTTAGATGTGATCGGAGATAGACCACCTCAATGTTTATATTAGTTTATTGAACTCTACCTGGGGCTTATTCGGAAAGTTTATGATCATCTTGTATAAAACAGGGTGAATTTAAATGTTTCTAGTTAAATTTTAATGAACACAATTTAAAAATGAACTGAATAACCCAGTTAAAAACTGGAAGACTATTATAGTTTTTTCTTGGTTCGAGAAAAATACAGAAACCAAAAACTAATCGAAACAATTTAGACGAAGAGAAGATGAAACTTGCTATAAAGGGTGCAGTATTTGGAAAATACAATATCAGTATGTATATCTACCTATTGAGCATGGTTTAAAGCGCACCACATTATGCGACTGAATGAATAAAATTAAAAAATCTAAACTAAAAGCATTCGATGATTCTGGACAATCATCTGAAGAGGAACACCATCATTCGAACTACACGTCGAATCGAATTTTTACGAAAAATCAAGAAAACGAGATATGTGAATACTTTATAACATGTTCTAACCTTCAGCACGGGTTTTCCTATACGATGGCAAGAACGTTTGTTTTTGATTATGCCACAATGAACAATATTTTTCATAACGTCAAGAGCTTGTTCGTAGAGACCCGATTTGGGCCATTTAATATTTATAACTTTGACTGCTGCAGTCGCCAAAGGTAATTTGTCGTACAAAAATTGTATTCAATCTAAAAATAACTGTAAGGGATTTGAAAAGTGTGGAATTGGCCTGATATTTCGAGAATCTGACTTTTTATGTGAACCACGTAGCAAACACACAACAACGAAGTTACAATTGAAATTCCAAGTGGTGAAAGAGACCGGCATCTCCCAAAAAAAGTCAAAATCCAGTAACAGAAAGGGGAATTCCAAAATGTTTACCTCCACACCATCCAAAGAAGAAAGCGAAGAGAGAAAGAAAAGAAAAACTGGAAAAAGGTTTAAAAAAAAACCAAATTTCCACAAAAAAAAAAAAAAAACAGTAACCAAAAATATATTGATTTATCCTCCTCGTCCGAGGATTCATTTATCGAAAATGAAAATAATTTGGAAGCTAAGTACTACTAGTATGATCGATACATTCTTTTAGTGTTATTTAAAAAAAAAATGTGATTCATGAAAATTTTTTGAACCAAATATTTATGATACAATTAAAATGAAAACCTTTGTTTTATTAAATTAGTTAAGTAAGCAACTAAAAACATTATTTTATGATTCCCAAAAAACCTTATAATTGATCTTATATAGAAGATAAAAGCA